CGAGCTCTGCATAGCAGCTGCCCACTATTCTTATTTTCTTGGAAGAGAAAATGAGTGGCGTTCCCTGAAATAAATGTGATTCTTGCAGTTGAGACTTTGCTTTGCAAAATACCGGTGTTACAAGTTCCAAAAATTAAAGAAATGCTTTGAAAAAGTCAAAGTCCAGTGGAGTAGGAGTCCCGGCAGGGAGCCAAAGCACCATCTCCTCTGCCTCTGCAATGAATGTGAATTTTTCAAAATCTGATTATTTTACTGGAACGTAGGCTCAGAAGCAACGCAAGGCAAGGAGTGGCAGGTCAGGGGATTGAAATCCACAGAGCATAATGAAGACCCCTGCCATCTTGCAACCCTTCTCTGCTTGGTTCCTGAACTTGCCCAAAGCTCACTCTTCCCCATGACCACCACACAACCGTATGCACAGAATTGGAAGGTCCCTCCAGGGTTACGTGGTCCAACCTGTTGCTCAGTGCAGGTATGATGCAGCATTTCAGGCAGGCTATTCATTCCTGCAAACTGCCAGGGACCGTGCAAAATACCCTTTATTTGAGCCATTTTCACAGGGTGGTGGCAGGATATTGTGCTGCCAATTTTTGGCATTTGTCAGTGGAAGTGGTATGATCCTTCACTCCTTGAAGATTGCAGAAATGGGGCTGGAGGAGACTGTAGGCCAAAGACTACCTATCTCTGCTTTATACAATTGCTCAACGATATTGGCTCTTTTATTTCCAGTTTTCATAATGACCATCTTAGACTGGATCTTTAGTTCCACTTCACTTTGAAAAGACAGCTACAATTCCAAAAAGAAAGCAGTGCCTTTCAAATATTGCTGGTGCAATATTTTTTGTGTAGAATAAGAACATGTATAAGAATTCTATACTTCAATACTGAATTTAGGCTTTGCAAACCTGTTGAGAATCTCCCCACCATAAATCTCACAGAATCTTAATTTGCCCTGAGGATATTGAGTTTTCTTTCACCTCTTCAGGTGTCTTCAGCTGAAGCCATCCAATCTGCAGCTCTGGTAAATTAAACTGGATATCTAATCTGAACATTCATATAAAATAGAGATCCAGTTTGCTTTTATCTATGATCTAGAGCACGCTTCTATGTTAGGAGTTTTAGATGATGAATTTTCTGCTCACAATGTACTGAGCACTTTAGCATTGGTGCTGTAATTAAAATGTGCCCATTTCTAACCTTGCCTGGGCTTTGAACTTAGAGGGGTGCTAAACAAATAGTTTTTGCAGCTTTATAAGGTTGTTGAAAATTTACTGGTCCCTGCAGATCTTAGGCTCTTGACTGATGCCTAAACTGGCACTAATTTAATGCAGACCCAAACTGCTGTGGGAAATGCCTAGCAGGTAAATGAGGGCATTTGGAGTGGAGAGTAGAAGATCCAAGGGACCCTCTCTCATATACTGACCATTGGGTGAAGAACTGGTCACTTTTTCTTTTTCTACATAGTCATGCTATCCAGGTGTTCCCCTTCTGATATCTTGTGCTTTGCTTTTCAATCCCTGGCAGTATTTTCAAGCAGAGAGGCCCATCTTTACTCAGGCCAGAGCATCTTCTTAGCTGCAAGTGTGGGTGCTTCTCCTGCCAAGAAGCTCAGCTTTGCAGTGGCTCTGATGACACGGCTTGAGCTGGAGGATGACTGCGGGCAGGGAAATTGAGGGGAGAAAACAGTCAAGGGCAGGGAGGGCATGAAATGGATCTCTCCTTAGCTTGCACCATGGAGGAGGGAGGAAAAATTACCCAGTTTTATTTTTCATCTTGCCAACTCTTAGCTTACAGAATTGCATCTAAAGTTGTCTATGCTCACCCTGTGCCATTTTCCCCACTTCTCCAACTCACTTCCCTGGTCTTACCCTCCCTGTTCTGCCCTCCCTCTTCTTGTTCTGCATAAGAGTTTAGAACTTCTCCTGGCTTTAGAAAGGAAATCAAGTCTCCTTTGACTTACACAGACATGTCGTATAGTTTTCTTGGCGACAATGGGGGACTGGCTCGCCATTGTCTTCTGTTAGACTTCCCCCCCCCCTTGATTTTCCAATCTAGCCTATTGTCTTGGGAGCTCCTCATGGTTTCTCATCCCAAGTGTAAGGATGTTCCATCCCGCTTGGCTTTCTGTGGTGCACTAAGCTTGACTAGTTGCTGCCGTCCAGCTGGAAGTCCTGATTTCCTCCACTCAGAAGTCAACAGGTTCTTGCTTTGTCCAGAAGACTTTGTTTCTCCAGCCTTACAGGCCTTCTTTCCATGCAGCTTCCAAGCCCTGCGCATCACTTCCTGTCAGAAAGCTCACAGGTTAGAACGTTTGCGAAGATTCGCTGATGCTGTATCTGGCCGAAGTAATGCAGACAGAAGATTGGAATAGAAAAGGACAGGGCACTCGGTGGGTGGAGTATCCGTGCAGGGGGGTCCATGGGGGGGGGGTCCAAAAAATCAGGATGGTGGCCATGTCAAAGCCTTCTGTACACTTAAAAGGGATGGGTTGTGTGATTATAATATTTGATTATGTGGCTGAGGCACCCTCTTGACATTTTTGACCCCCACCCATGGCCACCATGGAGCAAGGGTAAAGTGCAGATGGCAAGAAAAATCTACTTTTAATACAAACAAAACTAATCTTGTTTCCATAAAGTATCTTGATCTCTCCTTGACTGCCACCAAGGCGCAGGCTAGAGAAGACACAGGTAAGTTGATCGCCAATGTTGAGAACCATTCTGCTTTGGGCTGACTCTATTAGTCACTCATCCTAGAGTGTTCTCACCCCAGCTGATCAAGATAAAAACAGTTTTAATGCTGTTGTTTCCCTCTTCCCTCCCCATACGTTTCCCCCTTGTGACATATATTTTATGGCGTAATCGGAGGGCAAAGACGTTCTCCATGCACACCAGTACATGCATTCTTGATCCTCTCTGGATATATTTTAATATATTTTCTCCAGCATTTATAAGTTGTTTTTGAGGTTGGACCAGTAATGAAACATGATATGAACCCTCTTGAAAAGAGCTGAGCTTTTAGCTACACATTGTTCCTCTCTTTCCTTCACCTGCCTCCCCTCCACTGCAGGTGTTCTCTATTGTGGTGTTCGGCTCCATCATCAATGAGGGTTATGTGAACACAGATAAGTCCCCGGTGCTGCGCTGCATCTTCAATGGCAATGAAGGCGCCTGCAACTATGGCATTACAATAGGGCTGCTGGCATTCCTAGCCTGCAGCTTCTTCCTGGTGATGGACCTCTACTTCCAACAGATCAGCAGCGTGAAGGACAGGAAGCGCCTTGTACTCCTGGACCTGGGCTTCTCTGGTATGTCCTATGGAATGGGGCAGGA